TTTTGGTATTTGATTTTCCCGCCCTATTAATTATTATTTCTCACCAATTTTACTCGAACGTATTTTGTCAAAATTGTCGTAGTCTCTTCTCGCTGTTTTTACACTTTCGTGCCAGTTGTGTGTTTTGTCAAACGAGTAAAATAGAAATCTGATATCGAAGCCAATGCAATTTTAATGCTTTCATAGTGTGTTGTTACGATGACATTAATTGGATCGAGGCTGCGCCATTGCGGAATTCATCACGAATCGTTTTTTCTTATTTTTTTTTTTTTTTTTTTTTTCTTATTCAATGTCCTGTTTATATGATTTTATCAATTATTATTATTATTATTATTATCAAAATTTATGTATAATACAATTCGAATGAATGGTAAGATGTGATGTGTTATCAATGAATCTTATTATTTCTTATCTTTTTATTATTGTTAATAAAAAAGAAAAGAAAGAGTTGAGAGAGAGAGAGAGAGAGAGAGAGAGAGAGAAAACGAGAGTGACAAATTGATTGATTGATTGATTGATTGATTGATGTTTAAAATAAATTAAAATATTTTGTTTCTAAATTAATTGACAAAAATCTAATTGATTTATTTAGAAAAAAAAGAGAGAGAGAAAAAAAAATAGATAAAATAGATCAATAAATAAGATAAAAGAGATAGAAAAAAAAATAAAAAACTAAGATAGATAATAAGATCAAAAAATAGATAACAAATATATAATATTCTAATTTTATTTTACTTTAAATGATAAATGAAGTAAATGGTTTGGTGGTAATTTTTGTTTTGTTTTTTAAATAAGATAAAAGAGAAAAGAAAATAGATAACTAAGATAAATAGATAATAAGATCAAAAAATAAATAACAAAAATATAATATTATAATTTTATTTTACTTTAAATCATTAAAAAATGAAGTAAATGGTTTGATGGTAATTTCGTTATAGAAAGATAAAACTAAAAAAAAAAAATAAAATAAAAGATAAAAAATGTATCCTTGAGATAATTAATTATCTAAATGGACGAGTTTGAAATACTTTCGTAAACACCTGAACACGATATTTAACTTTATCACGATACGTCCGTAACGTGTTTTATTTTATTTTATTTTATTTTTTTTTTTTTAATTATTTTTTATGTTGTATCTATTTCTGTTCACGGAGAAACCTGACGACTCTATGTATGTATGCAGCTGCATGTATATGCAATGGATTGATGGGATGCATCATCATTCCAAATGTGTGTATGTGTATATGGATGATGATGGTATTAGGTATATACACGTGTATATACAACACGCTGGACTTCCCAGAAGAGTCCATTATTCCTGAAATGGCAGAAGTTGGAGAGACGAGGGGCCACGGACCGCTGTACTTTACAGCGACTGCGTTCAATGAAACAGACAGAGAGAAAAAGAGAGAGAGGGAGAGAGAAAGTGAGAGAGAGAAAAAGAGAGAGAGAGAGAAAGAGAAGGAGTAAAAGAGAAATAGATAGAGAGAGAGAGACAGGTAGAATAAAGTATTTTAATAATTATATTTTTATATAATTATTAAAATAAAATATTATTAATTTATATAATTATTAAACAAATAAATATAAAAATAAATTATATAAAATAATAATAGTAATAAATGTTATAATAAATTATACAAAAGTATAATTATTAAATTAAAATATCATATTAATTTATATAATTATTAAAACAAAAATATTTTATAATAATTAATATAAAATAAACACACAGGTAGAATAAAATATTTTCAATAATTTATATATCTAAATGAGACTATGTATGAATAACAAACATTAAATGCATTTTACAATTAATATTGTAATATTTGTATTTTGTATCATAAATCCTAAATGTTTATGATACGAATTTAAATCGAAATCATTATTATTATTATTATATTTTAATTGTTCAAATTTTGTTGTTGTTGATAATTATTCCAAAATTCATTTATCAAATTTGTTATTTTTAATTGATAAAATATCTCACACGATAACACGTATCACATGATTTTATAAGCACAAGTGTAAAAAGTGTCACCTGTTTTCTTCTCCCCCACAAGCAACCAGAACCAACCCAACCCACCAACCCACCCTTAACTCACCGAACGGTTCATTCAGAATTTACAACACTACTTTAACAGTAGATATATATTCACCCTTTTGATCACTCGACATTTGCATTAGAATAATAATAATAATAAAAAAAAAAAAAAATAAATAAATAAGTAAATAATTATAAATGCCGAAATTATATGCTGAATCACGATTTAGAATAAAAAGAAGATACACAACACTGATATGATAAACAGATGTTTTTTTCTTCTTATTGAAACAGCCTCCATAATGCTAGATATTAATGAAAATAGGAAGTGGAGGGGGTAGGGGGTAGGGGGGAGGGTAGTGGAGGAGGGGTGCGGGGACAGGTTATGAAAGAGGGAAGTGAAAGTACATGCTAATAGTTTCTTTGATAAGACTAAAAACCATGTGACTAAATGAGATGATTCTGATGATTCTGATAATTCTAATGATTCTAATGATTCTAATGATTCTGATGATGATGATGATGATGATGATGATGATAATACGATAGAGATTTAAAGTTAAAATAAAATACTAACGACTCTTGTACGTAACGTAGTCCAGCCCATTTTGTCAGATAGGATGAATTATCGACGTTGAAAGATAAAAATTGAGAGAGAGAGAGAGAGAGAGAGAGAGTAAGAGAGAAGATATAGAGATAGATAGAGAGAAAGAGAGTGCGGCGAATGCTTGGTGGATCCTTGCCTGGCCTGGCCTGGCCTGGCCTGTCCTGACCTAGGTAGCTAGACGACTCACAGTGAGAGAGAGACCAAGAAAATGGATTTTCAGGCGCTCATGCTCAACGATGACCCAGTTGTTAGAGCGCATGTCGTGCGATTGCTGCGCGCCGTATTTATTCCTCGTTTATAACCCCCCACAGTTTTCTCTTTCTTCCCCCCCCCCACTCACCCACTCTTCCAACTCCCTCTCCCGACCCCCATCATATCATCACTCTCTCTCTCTCTCTCTGTCTCTCTCTTTTTCTTTCTCTTTTCTTCTGATCTTCGTTTCTTTCCACCCTTAGGCCATTCCCTTAACCTCTACCTTTCACTCTCTTTCTGTCTCTTTCTGTGTGTGTGTGTGTGTTTTTTTTTTTATTCTTCCCATCTTTCTACCCTCTTCTTCTTCATCCTCCTTCTTTCTTCTCTTACCCCTTTATTCACTTTTTTTATTATTTACAACCACTTTCGATAGTTGAAATATACTTTTTGTTGTTGTTGTTGTTGTTTTTTATTCGAAGGCACACGTTAAGTTGTAGTAGTGGTACTTGTAACTCTTCTTTTCATTAGTGGAGCTAACTCTTTTCTCAGGTTTTTATTATTGTTCCATTCGTGCGGACCAAATGAATAGACTTTATTGAACAAAGGAAACAAATAAAAGGGTGGTATAACAGTGAAAGAAAGAACAAGAATCTATGTATATATATATATATATATATATATGTATATGGTTTCGTATATAAGTGGGTCAATTTAATAGGGTTTAATATTTAATAGGGTTGTTTATCACGTCGTGTGGATCGTGCACACGGTATATTTATATATATATATATATATATATATATATATATATATATATATATATNAAAATATATTCAATTTTAATATATTCAAATTTTATATTTTATTAATATTAATTTTAATATATAATAATTTAATAAATTATATAAATATATTTTATTAATTATATAATATATTCAAATTATATATATATATATATATGTACTGAAAATTTGAATTTTAGGACCTTAATTATATTATATATAGAATTTAGGAATTAAATTTTTAATTTAAAAATTTAGAAAGTTGTTTCTTATTTAAATTATTATAAAATGTATTTATTTATATATTATTTATCGTTCGATAAAATATATATATATATATATATATATATATATATATATATATATCATTTTTGTTTTTATGCATTTATTCATTAATTTATTTAAATAAAGAAATGAACAAAAAGGGAGTGTTACGGATACCTGATTCGTTAAAATTATTATTATTATTATTATTATTTTTCTTCGATAGAATAAAGGAGAGTAAAAACGTTTCGTTTAAAATTAATTGTTTATCGCTTATATTATTATTATTAATGTTATTATTATTATGATTGGAAATGTTGGTGGCATTGGAGTGTCCAATTATCAGGACAGTTTCCGATTGGACAGCTCGGTATAACCGCGGTTACAGAATCATCCCCTTGTTTCCAGATCGGACAGCTTCGATTTACTCAAGAATGGTCAATTTGTCAAATTCACTGTTCACGTTTGAGAGAACAATCGTTGAATAGATCAGACGTTCCAATCGATCATCGAGAAATAATTTATTGAGGTAAGTAATCGATTGGAAAATTTTATAAATAAACTTTCCATACATTACATTATATATATATATATACAATAATAATAATAATAATAATATAATAAATAATAATTTAATAAGTATGTACAATTTTTTTTTTCAATCAAAATATTAAAATTAGAAAATATATTAAATAACAAAATTTTAGAATATAAAATATAAAATATTAAAAAATAAAATTATATAGAATGTAAAATATAAAATATTAAAATTTTGTTATTACAATAATATTTTTTACTCACATTAATATTTCATACAAGCATACATGTATATATATATATATATATGTAATATGTATTTATGGTCGTATTAATAAACAAATTTACAAGACAATTTCGTATAATTTGTTCGTAATTAGAAACGATGTAATTTCGTATATCTTATGCTTGGGTTATTGCATAAGCGTTGCAATTATAATGGATGATGATAATTCAAGTGGAAAGCTCGTGTGAATAAGGTTTATGTATTTCCCTATATTTCCATCCTAATTTTGTATAATGTGTCTACCAACCCGTCGCCATGCATCGTAAGGGATTAATAAAGCATCAATATAATTGATTCATCGATTCGTTCTTAATTTATTTCTCTTATCTCTTTTTTTTTTATTTTTTTCATTTATTCTTTCCATTATTTTACACACATATTCGAAACACGAGAAAAAATAGAAAGACAAAAAAAAAATAGAAAAACAATCTTATATCCACCACAATTTTCTATTTTGAAAAAAAAAAACTAAAGTAATTTTAGATAAACAATATTGTTAAATACCAAACACCAAAGAGATAATTAATTAATTAATTAGAAATAATAATTAATCTTCTTAATATATATATATATATAAATTACGTGTGACGTTGTTTGTCCGCAATGAACTCCTAAACTATTGAACCGATTTTAATCAAATTTTCTACACTGTGTGCAGTTTCATTCAACTTGAAAGATACAATAGTTTATATCATTCTAACAGATGGAGGTATAAGGTAATTCGTTGACTTAAAGACGTGTGTATTGGACTGATTGTGAGTCACAGTAACGCGTGGCGGGGCACACCCCTAGTATTATAATATACAGTCAATAATCTAATTGCTATAATATACAGTCAAGAACAAAGGTAATATAGAATCGAATCGATATTATTTTATTAGAAAAATATTACGCCTACAATATCGTGCAATTTATCATCAAGAAAAACGATCGGAAATTTTTGTTGGATCAACCTAATAACAATTTAATAATAATTCCCTCTATTATATATATATATATATATATATATATATATATATATA